CACACACACACACACACAAATGAACGTTATGAAAATGATAGTTTGTTGTACTGTTGGCTGTTCACTTTCATTATTTGGCTGTTGCTAGGTGTAAAGTCATGAAAGCAAAGCGCCAAAATGGAAAGACTTCGGCACATTGCGGTCATTCTGCTTTTACTGAATGTTTTAGTTTTAGACACACAGAAAGCGTCGCGCGTCCATCTGTTGCAAAATATTATAAAATGTTTTTGGAGGAGACAACCAGACATCAATGTGTTTGCCATGGCTCAGTCCCGCTTGTCACCAAGGTACAAAATGTGACACACACACGCACAAAAACTAACGAACAAACGTTATGAAAATGATAGTTTGTTGTACAGTTGGCGGTTTATTTCCGTTATTTGGTACGATTGCATTCACATCAGAAATTAACCGTACCAAAGTTCACATGAACCGTACCCCAGACCACCTCTTTCAGGCGGACTCGAGTACGGTTCACGGGTGCGCACCCGAGTTCAGAAGACACGTTCACACTAGCTAAATGTATTGTACAATGATGTCCAGCGAACCCGGGTGCGGACGAAAAGTGCTTGTGTGAAAGCACCCATACAGTATGCAGTGAGCTACTCCGCAAACTCAAAACACTGGCGCAAAAATGAACAGAAGCCATCGGTGGTGTCACACCACCACATAGCATTCATTTTAAAGACAAAATACTGTGAGACCTACCTCTGGCTTCATAATTCATGCTCTCCAGAAATTTAGACATGGGTGCGTATCTACAATGAGCCTGTGTTGCAATTAATTTAGAAAATATGAGCTGCACGGTTTGATTTCGATAATACAACCACATTGGCGAGAAATATGCAGTCAAGTAGCATCCACACAAGCTTTGCATTTCAAAATCAATGGGTCCCACTTTATGTTAGGTGGCGTTGACTACTATGTACCTGCAGCAAAAAAAAAAAAATAATAAAAATACAATGTACTTTGTATCGGAGAACACTTCTGGTATCTCATGAGGTGTAATCAGGAACAAGTTTGATGGTATGGGTAAGGGTGGGTTGAAGTGTAAGGGATGGTCAACACTGTAATTACAGAAATTCATTACAGATGTAATTACCTGAAGGTATTTAATCAATTATAAGTACAATATAAAACATGTATTTGCACAATAAGTACATTGTAGCAAATGATTAATTTTAGTGTAATACGTATTACTTAAGGCCACCTAATATAAAGTGAAAACTCTTAATGCTTTGTTTACCCTGAGTGGTAAGGTTAAATATAGTAAAGTACAGTACGAGGTAGTATCCAGCATATGAACGACTTCTTAAACAATAATGAAGGAAAAACAGCAGATCCTGTTCTTGCTTCTTGGTATTTTTCTGTAAACCAATAGCATTCAACAGGGATTCTAGCTCCACCCTTTTAGTACCGTAATGTTGTGCTAGGTTTTACTATACCATTAAAAAATGGTATAGTAAAGTTTACCATTTTGGTACTTCTAGCAGTAAAAAACAAAATGTAAATAAATGCGTACTGGAGTATTCTGTACTGAACCATACCACTCAATGGAAATTAGCCATAAAGCAAGCTAGCTTACAGTATTAACGTGATAAACTGTGCACTTAATTTTGTACTGTAAAGCAACTGCTTAATATTGTATTTAACTTCCAGGTGTTTAACATCAAATGAACTGAGAGAATGAACCAGAGAACAGTTCCTTGAAAAGGTGGAGACTTAGATCCACATCTACCTATTACATAACTGTTGTGTACCAATAGTAGTTCAAAGATATTTACCAGCCAAAACTGTTTTTATGTCATTTTTTTTGTAAAGTTCAGTCTGGCAAGCTGTTTTGACCTGCTGTAACAGGCTAACTTTGTTTGGTCTTGTCATTAATCCCAGATGTAAGAGCAACAAATATGACATCTAGTTGATGATTTGGAAAAGTGGTAGAAGGTACAGTAGATTTATTCAGATGAATCATCTGTTGAACTGTATCCCAATCATCATAAATACTGCAGCAGACCTATTGGAAGGAAAAATCATGGTTTAGGGTTACATATGGGGATGTGCGAGAGAACTGAGGTATCAAGACATTTGTGCTGCCCATTACATTTCAAACCACAGGAGAGGGCAAATTCTTTATCAGGATAGCGCTCCTTCTCATACTTCAGCCTCCACATCTGAGTTTCTGAAAGCAAAGAAGATCAAGGTGCTCTAGAATTGGCCAGCCTAGTCACCAGATATGAACAATATTGAGTATGTCTGGGGTAAGATGAAGAAGGAGGCATTGATGATGAATCCAAAAAATCTCGATGAGCTCTGGGAGTCCTGCAAGAACACTTTTTTTGCCATTCCAGATGACTTTATCAATCAGTATTTGAGTTATGGCAGAGATGTATGGATGCAGTCCTCTAATTTCATGGGAGTCATACACAATATTAATTCTTTTTCCATTGAACCATGATTTTATATTTTATACTGTACATTATTGTGACAAAACTTTTGTCTAAGCAAAGTCAGACCTTACTGTCCTATTGAAACAATTTAAAATCAAGGCATGATTATATTATTATTTTTTTTGTAAAATTAGCTTAATCTAGAGGTCTTTGCCTTTCATATAAGCTACTTCTGATACCAAACGATCAATTAGAAGTCAAGTTATTATTTGTTGTTCCTAAAACTTAGATAGGTGACAAGACCTTTTGACAGGTAGTATGCATATCCTACAGATGTATTGATTACCTTTAATCATCACCACTTTTAGTGTGCTTGACAGTAACAGTATTTACAAATGAAAATGGACAAGATCAAAGGTCGTTCATTGTTGACCAGAGGAGTCAAATGATGGGTTTATCTTCAAGTCAGAGTTAGATCAGAAGGTTATCCTTTATAGTTCTTAGTTATTTTTATTATTTTTGTTATGCTTAAAGAAAAAAAAATTAGGTACACAATTTGTTAGTTTCTTTCTTCAGATCTGTTTGACAGTTTGAGCAGAATATTTCTAATCACTGCTCCCAAACCATCGGCCTGGTGTGAGTTTTAGATAGTGAAGATGTGTGCAAGCCCTGCCCTTTCTATTCTTTCTTATTCCAAACTTTTTTAAAGAAATACCTTAAAGGTAACAGTAGCAAGATTCTTGTTTGTTTTATTACCAAAGCATGTAGATGTATCGCTCTTCAGCTACAACAGTGCAATAATGTGTTAATCCCTTTGAATCTTTTTGTATGTTTTCTTCGTAGTTCCCCTATTCTGCCCTAGAGCCAGTTTAGTGGCTTTTCTAGGTATGCCTTTATTGTAGTGTTGTATAAACTTCATAGTGTAAATGATTCCTGTTAATCTAGAAACAATTTAAACTTACCAATGGGATGTTGTGGGTTTGACAATGTCACCAATTTGTGACATTTTCTAGTGTTACTATACTCTCTAGACATACACATCTGTGTGTTTATAGGGAAGGCTAAACAGGATGCCAAATGTTTTTGTTTTTGTAAAGTACTTTCTATGGACAAGTGAATTAAGTATCGCTATAAATATTTTTGAGTAGTATTAAGCATTAAATGTATAAAACTAGTTTGAGTTCAGTTATTTTTATTCAGAAAGAGTGCATTACACTGATCTGTTTCAAATAAATTCTTTTGTAAATTGCTGTTTTAATGAAACTATTACAAAAACCTTTCACAACATGGAGTGAAGAATTTCTTCACCAAAAAAAACCCACACTGTTCATCAATCATTTTTGAGTTCATGTCCTTGTCAATATACAGTGGGGGAAAGCTGTTGTTGACTTGAAATTTTCACCAGATGTTGAAAACAACCAAAGAAATACACATATGAAAAGAAAACAAATCTAATTAATTTATAAATTAAGTTATGTGTAATAAAATGAAATTACACAGGAAAAAGTATTGAACACATGAAGAAAGTGAGGTTTAAAATGGCAGCGAAAGCCAAGACAGCAGCTGAGTTATCCAGTCCTTCATCAATGTACAGTAAATTAATATTAGCTGCTTCAGTTTAAAATCTACATTATCAGGATGATGAAGATGAAACCAGGGTGGACATTTTAGCAAGACAATTATCCAAAATCCAGCCAAGGAAACTCTCAAATACTTTCAGAGAAAGAATAGCAAGCTGGGAAATGCCACAGCCAATCACCTGACTTGAATCCAATAGAAAATACAAAAATTAAAGATCAGATTTAATAGACGAGACCCACAGAACCATCAAGTTTTTTACACTGTTAAAGTCTGTGAAAAACTCATACCTGAGCTAGTCATGTGACTTCATTCTTCATATGAGAGGCGTCTTTAAGCTTTAAGCATTTCAGTAGTTTAGTACATTATCCATGTGTCATTCCATTGTTATTAAACATAATTTTTTTTAATCTTTTTTTTTTATATATATTTTTATGTTTGTATTGTTCTACTTTATACCAAAATCTGGTTCAATTGCATCTCAACAGGTTCTTTAGAAATATTATTCCCTGGAAAAAGCATGACGTGTTGAATACTTTTTCCCCACTGTATAAATATATATATATTGATAGATATAGATATATACATATATGTTGTGGAATGTGTTTGAAAGTGAATGCTAGGGGGAAAATGTGTTTGCAATAAGTTTACCTGTGTTAAATGTAGATTAAACATACACCACATCGAATGTGACTACACCATGCCCCAGCTCACCTTTAGTTTTCTATTTACAGCCCACATCAGCAGTATTAACGGAACAGCGATCATTATCAACCTAAAAACACTGGACACTTTCCTATATCCAAATAAACCCATCCCCTCTCTAAAATGTCCATCCTTTCCACACAAGTATTTTAACATACCTGTATCTTTAACCTGTCTGCATGGCAATTGGCATGCATTGCACACATTTGACTCCATGCACACCTCACGAGCAAAAAAGGAGGAGCCCAGAAGTGCAGAGAGCAGGTGGGCGTTACTAAGCTCATCAAGTGGCCAAACTAACAATAAGAAGACTTGTGTCAGCTGATGTTCTCTTGCACTCTTGCCTCCAGACCCAACAGAGCCTGTGCCCTGCTCCAGAACAAGGGAAGGGGATCGAGAGTGAGCAAAGGAGAGTGCCATGGCTGAGTCAACTAACTTGAGGCTTCGCCTGCCGCTCATATGCATCATTTTGGAAGTCATCCTCATCATTCTCTTTGGAGTACTGGTGGAGTACAACGATGATACCGATGCCAAGAAGTGGAATAAAAACAATTCTACTGATCCTGCCACGAATGAGTTCTACTATCGCTATCCCAGTAAGTGACAGTTGAATTCGAGAGGTGAAGAACTTTTATTTACTTACTAAAAAGAACTTGTATAAGTATGTTATAGAGTGAAGTGAATTAATAACAAAGGTTGCAAGTAGGAACAGATGTCATTACTTTTAACTTGATAACAAAGGAATGTGATTGATTGGTTGAACTGCTGATGAACATTGGCCTTATATTATCTGAACTGTTCTTCTTTTTTTGTTGTGTGGTTTGACTGGTTTAAGTGAAGCTTGTTTACCTTTCTTAGCATTTGATTTCTTCAAAAACTTGATCTATTAGTTGATTTGTGCACGTGTCAAATTTCTGCAGTGTCAGATTTCCCATACACCTTTACTAAGACTGTCTCATCCTTTAATCCTTGTAGTTTGCACAAAAACTACCTTCACTGACACACTAAACTACTTAATTATATTTACTGTACTGCATGATGCACCTGTGCTGCAAGCCCTGGACACACCTACATGAGTTGCATAAATCACAACATACCAACTTTCATAATGGCCATGCCATTATAAAACATTTAGTGTTCTGAATGAAAAAGAGTCCAAAGTAGTAAAATTGACCTCATTTATATATTTACAGAAATGTTTAGGTAAAACGTGTTTGCAAGTAAATTTTGTGAGAGAACTTTTGAGTCTTGTTGCAAACTTTACTTAGACATGGAGCTCATAGGCTTATTAATGGGCTGCCAAAGAGGAGTGAGTGTGAGAAGTATTTGGGACAGTTTGCCCACAGGGGCTGTGCCATCTTCATTGATGCCTGGGTCAATGGCCAGTTGCTTGGCAACAGTGTAATTGTGTCAAAAGAAGTGAAATGGGTGAATGAATGGCTCTACAGAGAAGAACACATGGGTTAATATTGGGTTCAGCATACCCATAGTGTAAAATTGGTCTAACTAATGAGGGGTGTCGCTAAATATCAAAGTCATCGTTTTTAAAATCATTCATTCCTTTTTCGATGGCTTAGTTCATTATTTATATGGGGTCACCACAGCAGAACAAACTGCCAACTATTCTGGCATATGTTTTACGCCCTTCCAGCTGCAACCCAGTACAGGAAAACACCCATGGATCACATTGCTCACCAATGAGCCCCCTTGCCGCCCTCTAAAAATCATATTTTTCCATATGTATCCACACATATATCAGAGACTACTCATTACTTCTTGGGACTACTTTGATATTATTAAAAATATTACAGTATGAGATGGGCAGTAAAAAAATTATGTGAAACAACTAACTGACTGTTTTTGTTTTAGGCTTTCAGGATGTTCATGTGATGATCTTTGTGGGCTTCGGGTTCCTGATGACATTTCTGCAGCGTTATGGATTCAGTAGCATGGGATTTAACTTTCTCATCGCAGCCTTTTCCCTTCAGTGGGCAACACTTATGCAGGGGTTTTTCCATGGCATGCACCATGGCAAGATCCACGTTGGCGTGACAAGGTAAAATCTTAATGACTGCACAATTACTGCTTTAATGGAAGAAAATCCTTTTCTCTATGTTTTATTTTCATGTATGTATGTAGTGATAGATTCATAGAAATCTGTATAAAGCTCATTTTTGAGGATAGAGCATGAATAGAATGCATTTAAGTCTGTGTGTTCCCATAAGAAAGCACACAATCTGTTAGAAAATGACCATGAAATCTTGCTGTATCATAAGAAGTCTTGTCAGGGTTAGAACATAATGAAAGGGGAGAGGAAAAGGAGATAGATAATTTTGCCAGGTATATGAGAATCACTAAAGAGTAATAAGTGCTCTGATAAAGAATCAGAAACTAAGGATTTGCATTTTTAATTTGGCCAAGAATGGCAACAGTCAAAGAACTAATTGTACGTTTTAATAATGGGAAAAACAGAAGACTCAGATACTCAAATACAGTACTTCAATATAAGAAGTTCAGAATACTCAGGCATAAATTTGATCGACTGCTTCTTGCTGCTGTTGTAGCCAGTGTTGGGGGTAACGCATTACAACGTGAGTTACATAAAAATAATACTTTTTTAAGTAACGAGTAAAGTAGCGCATTACTTTTAAAAATTAAATAATAATATTTGCTTTACTTTTTAAAAAAATGCAATGCAAGTTACTTTTTAGTTTAGTTAATTTGCTTTTTTTTTAATTGTTGAATTAAAATTAATGTAGTCAAATTTCACACACAATGAGAGAATGCAGAAACAGACAAAAATGAAGATGGCAGAGCCTTACAATTCTGCAATGGAAATATTCTCATGATTTTGAGCAGATTGAAGAAAAGGAAAAGATGATTATCTGAATGCATAGGAATTGTACTTCTTGTAAAAAAAGACAAAAAGTACAAAAGTAGCAAACACACTGCTTTAAACTGTCATTAATCTGTATATACGCCATAGCTCTGGGGTCAGAAACTTCTCAGCAGATAACATTATCTTACATTCATTTTTTATTTTTTTTTTAAAGGTAAATGAAGGGTTTAACAGTGTGTTGTTAACTTCTCTTTTTACAAAAAGAAGAGAAAAATACAAAAGAAATGTAACATTACTTACTATAAAGAGTAACTAACTAATGCAACTAGTTACTTTTTTGGGGAGTGAATCAACATTGTAATGCGTTACTTTCTAGAGTAACTTCCCCTAACACTGGTTGTAGCATGTTTTGACACTAAAAACAGCATTCTCCACTACACTATGAGCTCATGTCAGTTGGATTACAGTAAAGCACGGCGCCCTCTAGCGGATATGGCAAATTATGACTTCCTAACACACAGACATGTTCACTGTATTTATAATGACTCTGAATCAATATGTTTTTCTCGCAGCATGATAAACGCAGACTTCTGTACTGGTGCTGTGTTGATCTCTTTTGGCGCGGTTTTGGGGAAGACCAGTCCTGTGCAGCTTCTTGTGATGGCTATTTTGGAGGTGACATTGTTTGCTGTTAATGAGTACATCCTGCTTTCCATCCTTGGGGTGAGTATAGAGACACAATCTGTCTGATCTGCAAAATCATTAAATTTTAGCAGGATTAACAGCTTCATTTTCCTAACATTTTACATTTAAAATCTAACATTTAAGTTTCATAGGGATGTGCAAAAATTAAAGTTATAGCTTGGTATATTGTTAATGGTTGCACACATGCATAATAATGAAATAATGATGTAATATAATACATGATTGAATCATTTAAAACAGCTAGCGTGCCATTACCCTCTTAAAGCCCATGGTGTTTTTTTAAATGCATTTTTTTATTTCTCTGCTATTTGGGCTTATGGGAACCTAATTAGAATAAAAATCTAAGTATCATCTTTTGATATGATGTACTTTTAGAGAAAATGATGTCCATATATGTTATTTTAGACAGTTAAAAATAGTGTTTGGGACATTTCATATGCTGCAAAACAGTTGCATGGTGAAACTGTATGTCTGAAACAAAATATAAAACATTCATAGTATTTTAAATAGCCCCTTAAGAGCTAAAATGTGCTGTCCAGGTATGTGGACACTCAAGCCTTAGAAGGTTATAACAACTTTTATTATATGACCGTAAAGGATAACTATTGCACACCCTTAATATAAATACTCGCCTTCAAAAATGTCTGACATGTATTATCTGGTTTTACCAAAAGTCGATGCGCATATCAAATATACTGTAGTAACAACTCCACTTAAAAACACTTCCTAAAACAAAACATGTTCTACTAGATTATTTATATTTCCTATTTATATTTACTTTTTATTTAAATTACATATCCACAATAATATCAAGATACATGAGCTGCAGTATGTAAAAGGTGTTTTAAAACCATATGCCTGTAAATATTCTAACATTTACCCATATTATAGTAACAGATTTAAATTTGACTGTGTTTACAGGCCAATGATGCTGGAGGATCCATGACTATTCATACATTTGGTGCATACTTTGGCCTAATGGTGACCCGTATCCTGCACAGACCAAACCTGGACAAGAGCAAACACAAAAACTCATCCGTCTACCACTCTGACCTCTTCGCCATGATCGGTGAATCACTGGAAAAGTTTAATCTGGCATTTTGCCATTCAGAACTCACTAACGTTTAATTTCTGCTCAGGTACTATCTTTCTGTGGATGTTCTGGCCCAGCTTCAACTCAGCCATTACGCAGTACGGGGACCCACAACACAGAACTGCCGCGAACACTTACTACTCTCTGGCTGCCTGCACACTAGCGACATTCGGGTTCTCTTCTCTAGTCAATCCAGAGGGCAAACTGGACATGGTGAGCGCCCTCTTGTGTTCGCTTTTGATATTGCATTTGGTGATTTCAGTTCTAATGCAGCAAATATTAATCTTCTCATCAGTAACATGCAGTCAATAGAATCTCTTTATCATTTTTAGACAGAGATTTTAGACATGTTCTTGCACAGCTTTAATGCTTCCAAATGGTTTGTTGCATTTATAAAGCGCTAATGTCTTGACTCAGGTTGTTCAGTATGATGCAAATTACTTTCTATGTGCTATGTGATTAGACAAGAATCACAGGACTGATTAATCTATTTTAGCCAATCCCCAGAGACTACAAAAAAAAGTAGTGACAGCAGGCTGAAGGGAAATAGTCGAATAAAGGTATAAGTACCAATAAAGCACTAAAAATGAACTCAAGGGAAAGTATAAGTGCACAAAACAACTTAGTAAATTGCAATTCCTGATAAAAACTACTCAGTTACAGTTATTCGAGTACTTGTAATTTGTTACTTTACACCACTGGCAACAACCTTAAATATTAGTTAAAGTACAGGATTTTTTAATCTGCAGGTTTTATATATTATAAAATACAAACAGTAAAAAGAGGTCACAAAATAAAAAATAAATTAAGCCCCCCTGTTTATTTTTTCCCCAATTTCTGTTTAACGGAGAGAAGATTTTTTTCCAACACATTTTTAAACATAATAGCTTTAATAACTCATTTCAAATCAAATCAAAATCACTTTTATTGTCAGCAGCACGTGTACTATGATGAGTGAAAAGCTTAGGTGCTGGCTCCAGGCAGTGCAAAATACAACACCATACAACAACATACTCCCAAAAAAAACAAGAATGTACAATTTTACAATTTTCAACAACTTTCTAATAACTGATTTCTTTTATCTTTGCTGTGCAGACAGTAAATAATACTTTACTAGATGTTTTTCATGACACTTCTATACAGGTTAAAGTGACATTTAAAGGATTAATTGGGTAATTAGGTTAACTAGGCAGGTTAGGGTAATTAGACAAGTTATTGTATAACGATATTTTGTTCCCTAGTCAGTCGAAAAAAATATAGCTTAAAAAGGCTAATAATATTGACCTTAAAATGGTTTTAAAAAAATGAAAAACTGATTTTATTCTAGCCGAAATAAAACAAAAAAAACTTTCACTAGAAGAAAAAATATTATCAGACATACCGTGAAAATGTCCTTGCTCTGTTAAACATCATTTGGGAAATATTTAAAAAAGAAAAAAAAATTTAAAGGGGGGCTAATAATTCTGACTTCAACTGTATATAAATATATTTCATTTTGTTAGTTAGCAAGTACATTACAGACTCTCATAACTGACTGTGTTTTTCAGGTGCACATCCAGAATGCCGCACTGGCTGGCGGTGTTGCAGTGGGTACGGCTGGAGAGATGATGCTGACTCCGTTTGGCTCCATGATTGTAGGATTCCTAGCTGGAACTATTTCAGTTCTAGGATACAAATATCTTACGGTTAGAAGTGCACTTTTCTCTGATGCAAAATTGTAAACTTCAGCAAAATGCCTGGGTGTCATTTTTCTGTTTTGTGCTCATTTAGCCATTTATGGAGTCAAAACTGAAGATTCAGGACACTTGTGGTATTCATAACCTGCATGGAATGCCAGGAATACTGGGAGCTATAGTGGGTGCTGTCACTGCTGCCTTGGCATCCAGGGATGTGTATGGAAATGGGTAAGTCAGTATTAAAAATGTATATTCATGTTAAATAGACCATGCTTAATTTAAATACTGCCTTGTTTGAGTAATTAAACAACATTTTAGAAAATTGATCATATAAATGTTCAATCAGCAGTATAGTGATAACTATTGAGTTCATGTTATAAATACTGCTCAAAAAAATAGGAACATTTGGAGTTACATTGTGGTGTTTAAGTGTTTTTTTTTTTGCATTATATTATATTATATTATATTATATTATATTATATTATATTATATTATATTATATTATATTATTATTTTTATTATTTTATATTATATTAAATTAATATAAAAGATTTCTTGAATAAAAGATGTGTTGAATAAAAGATGTGCCGGAGGTAAAAAAAAAAAGGGTATAATATATATATATATATATATATATATATATATCATGTTTTTGGATGTATAAGGATTATTGGTTTATCTTAAGAAGATTAATTTTGTTTCCTCATGGCTGAACATAGTGCATTCTGTGAGAACAGATACGTTTTTAGCCTGTGTCTCCCAATTTACACAGACTGGACAAAGTTTTCCTTGAAGCTGCTGATAATTCTCAATGGAGCGCTCAAACAAAGGGTGGCTTTCAGGCCATTTCCTTGGCTGTTACACTGGGAATAGCTCTGATCGGTGGTTTGATTACAGGTGGGTGTAAGATTGATTTGATCTTTGTATTTGATCTTATCGGAGTAAAGGTGACCAAATTTAGTGCACAATGCTATTTAAATCATGATTCAAATATGATGAAATGCACATATTTATATCTGTGAGCATCAAGGACAAATTTAAATACACAGAACATTCTTAAAGTTGAGACTCTCAGTGAATGTGTTGTGCCACACACTGGAAAAGGGGTCAGTAATGTTTTATATTTGCAAAACAGCAAGTAATTTGATCTGTTACAGGTAAATCTATTCATTTTAAAATAATTTCTGAATGTGCAGAATGTATGATTCAAGGTTTAACTTGTAGCTAACTTTAACTGAGGTTAACCATTTTTTCCTATAATATTATAGTATTATACACAATATATATATATATATATATATATATATATATATATATATTCTAATGTTTTCTAACATTTAATATTTTGGAGAAAGTCTTATATCTTTTCAGTGTTTCAATTTATTATTTAATAAAATGTTATTAGTCTCCTAATTTTTTTTTTCTTATATTTTATTTTGTTTGATTTTGCCAATTAACCTAATTAACTTACTTAAGCTTTTAAATCGCACTTTAGGCTGAATACTAATATCTTGCAAAATTACAAAAAAATAGTAAAATGTTATGTACTGTCAAGAACAAAGACAAAAGAAATGAGTTATTAGTTTGTTATATAGTATAAGTTAGTTAACAATTAAAATTAAAATAAAAGAAAATATGCTCTGTTAAACGGCACTTGGGAAATATATTTTCAAAACAATTAAAACTTCCCTAAAGTACTAATAATTTTGCCTTTTTTATATATCAAAGTTTACATTTGTAATTGTATTATTCCAGCTTTAGTTAAAGGGTCAGTTCACCACAAAATTCCAATTCTGCCATCATCTGACCCTATCAAATAAAAGCCATAAGACTGTAATCAAATCTATAGGAATTAAGCAGTTTAATTAAGTCTTTTGAAGAAAAAGGAACAGATTTAATTTTGTTTTTCATTCACACCCAATAACTGATGAGCGGACAAACAGAAATTCAACTATATCTGCCTGATCCACCAAACCATACCACTTTGGTTCTAATCAATGCTTCCGTGTGAATAAAGGCTTAAATCAAAACATGTTCATTACATAAACACCTGGATGTACATTTCTTTCTTTCTTAACATCTTGAATCAACAAAAACATTTTATGGCTTTGGAATGAACACAAGAATAAACAAATAATGACAGAATTTATATTTCGGGTTGAATCAACTCTTAAGTGCATGCTTATCCCTTTAACTGCCCTAGTAAGAAAAAAATGTTTGGATTGCATTTCTTCACTCCTGATGTTGCTAATTAACACACTCAATGCATTTTTTCACATCCCATAATTTCTAAAATACCAACCTCTTCCAAGTGGTATAGGTTTATGATAAAAGTACAGGAATTAATACATTCACACATTCATTAATTCATTTTCTTATCGGCTTAGTCCCTTTATTAATCTGGGGTTGCCACAGCGTAAAATATTTTAACAGTCATTATTTAAAACAGCCAACACATGGTCAACCATTTGGTAGAGCAGGCAGTTAAAGGTTCATGAACTTGACACTGTAAATTAGACAAATGAAATACAATTCTAAACAATGCAAGGTAAGATAGTGTTTTTTGTTTCCTCTCCAGGCTTTTTACTGAAGCTGCCGATCTATGGTACTCCTCCAGACACGCAGTGCTTTGAGGATGCAGTCTACTGGGAGGTGAAGTGTTTTTCAATATCACATTGTTTGGTCATTTTATTGAGCAAGTCTGATTCAAAGATGGCAATGTGTTGTCTTATGTGGAGCAGTGAATGTCATTGCAAATGTCTGACAACAAGTTAGGCAGTTTATAAACACATAGAGCCAGTTTGTGTGTTGAACAGCACTCATAACAGTGTTGTCTATTTCAGGTGCCAGGTGAGGAGGAAGATCACCATGAGCTAAACGAAGTGAGCACGCAAAACGAGGTGGAGAAACTCAACAGCTAAATGACCTGCTTTCTGACCTGTTTGCATTTGCTCATTACGTCATGTGTTTTACTTCATACACTATAAAAAATGCAGGGTTCCACACACAAATCGATCAAGTTAACTTCACCATTTTAAGTGGATTGAACATAAAGCAATTAGGTTGTCCCCAAAAGAAGAACTCAACATTTTTTTCAGCTTATTTTAAGTAAGTAGTTTGAACTGGAATCTAAATCTTTATTTAGTATAAATGCATAAAGTTCTGTCACTCGTGAAATTCTGTGCAGGTGCTACTCATGGTGCTTTTCAAATAAAACCGCAACTATTATTATCAATAAGGTTTCAGGCCAATAGCCAGGGGGGTTCAAAAGGTCCACCCCCCACTGACAAAGATGCAAAGTGTGCCATTGGTCCAGAAGTTTTGCCACTATTTTCTCATTTGTTCTATTTTGGCTGCTTTGTCATCATAAATTGTGGAAATACTGTAACCCAGCAAAGTTTTTAAGGCCACACAGAATGACATAAGTGAAGTCAACTTTCACCATTGACCTACTCTTGTTTAATTTTACAAGTAGCCTAACTTTTATTCTAAATCTTGGACCTTATTCTTGGAAGAAAATAAATGACCAATGAAAAGATCCAGAGCACCAAAAGCGGCCCATATCAAAGTCAATTTTAATACTAATTAGGCTGTTGTTATCCATTAATTTTTAAACTTTTAAGGCAGGCTAGAAAAAAACCGTGAAGCTCTACATTATGCTTTAATTGTTTTTTATTTACTGACTGAAAGCTGAATGTGCTGGCCAGGTTATTATTTGCCTAATAAATGACAACAGGCTAATTTTGTTTCTACACTGTAAAACCCAAAAAGTTAAAGTAACTCAAACCATTTGAGGAAACCGATTGCAACCAACCATTTAAGTTCAAAAACTAATCCTAATGAGTACTGTGATCCATTTTAGTAAACAATTCAATTTGAGCACAGTAAAACCTAGTGAAATAAGAGAACTCAAACCATATAAGTACTGTAAAACCCAATAAGTTAAGGCAACTCAAACCATTTGAGGAAACCAATTTCTACAAAGTATTTGAGTTAAAAAAACAAACCTATATGGTACTGTGAACTTAATCCATTTAGGTTGAAGTAATGAGGTATTTAATTAACTTGTTACCTTCAAAAGAGTTCAAACTCTTTTCAAATGAGTAGAATTAACTTTCAGTTAATTTTGATTTAGCTACACTTATTTCATTTTTATAAAGTTGACTGTTGGGTTTTACAGTGTAATGATTTATGATGTAGTGACTTTGTATTTTAAAAATAAGTTGTTGTTTTTTCTTTGTTTTTTCATATTTTCGGTACATCAAAAATTGATCATCCCAACAAGCTAATTCAGCTAAAATTAGTGCTTAAAATGTCACTAAATGGAGTATTTAATCCTCACAATTAAATAGAAAATGAGGTGAAAACTGCAAAAAAAAAAAAAAAAAAAAGTCACAATTTTGAGAACAAAGAACCAACCCTACGGGGTTGGATTTGATGTAAATTTTTTACAAGGACTATTTTTAAACGGACCTGCGTTTCCTTTTAACACCACAAGATGGTGGCGCAGAGCTGCAACTGGTCAAGCTGATATTTGTGTAAATGGCGAAATACAGCTTAAATACAGAAAGCATCTTTTGAATATAGTTGCAGGCAGGGAGAATGTATGCAGAAATGTTTTGTATTCGTGTCACTTAGAATGAATGTGGAATATAGGAACCTGTTACATTTAGTCATTTAGCAGACGCATTTTGTTCATACAAAAAAGGAGGCATTAAAGGGATAGTTCACCCAAACATTTTCATCAATTACTCTCCTTTCACTTCTTCCAAACCTGTTGGGCTTTTTCTACTGTTGAACACAAAGAAGATATTTTGAAGAAAGCTGTGACCATTGAGATCTGTTTTTTTCCCTATAGGCTATGGATGTCACTGGTTGCGGGTTTTCAGCATTCTTTAAGATATTATTTTGTGTTCAACAGAAAAAAGACACTCATAAAAGTCTATAATCCCTTAGCTTTGAGTAAATACATTTTCATTTTTGGGTGCAATTTAACGTGAAGTGCCAATACACATAAGAAGTGCTACTTACTGTATACAAAAGGACTGGTATTCTTAAAGAAATAAGAGCTGAAGATTTCCAAACGGTCGGAATATTTTTGTGCTCAATATAAAAAAAAAAGTGAGAATATTTTAACAATTTCTACAGTCACATTTTATCTCAGTGTTTTTGGATCTCACACACAAACACACACTGTGAATATAATGCATTTATGAACACGTTTTAAGTGGAAATATGTTAGTTTTGGATTGGGAGGGGTGTGATTAAACGATGTACATTAAATGTACATAGTTACATGTTTATCTGTTTTACGGGGAATTAAAGAAGGCTGTATTTGGACCCAGTATAACCTGTGCTTGAACGACAATTTCTGTATGGAATAACATTTAAATAAATTGTTCAAAAAAATATATAGGCCTACAATTTATTTATTATGGTAATTATTTTGTCAATTTCTCGTATCTGTGGGAGAGCAACGTACATTCATCATGACCACGAACAACGACGTCAAATCACGCTGATTCCCTCTGAAAGCACCGTTTAATTCAAGAATACTTAATGGCGCTCATACAATCACCGCGGAAAGGGTTAACGAAGAGTCCAGATGGTCTCCGTCGCGTAATTAGCACAGTTTCACTTTCTGGGATCAAACGGAGAAGAGAAAGTGGGGGTCTTATTTTGATAGCACGTTATTAGGAGCGCCTGGAGCTCGCGGGCTGTGCGAGGAACAGCTCGACGCCCCTTTTCATTGGCGCAGCGCGTGTTTTCCAGAGGCGGCGGCGCGGCGCGCGTGAACCAGCGCCAAGGTCTTTTCCCAGGCCTCAGACAGGTGGACAGCTGCGATCTGAATAGGCGTTAACGCTGAAGTGCTTAATTGCGCTTTATAATCACCAAAAATGAAGAATGCTAACCGCACGTAATAGGGTATTTACATACTTGATTTGTTTGTGTGTTTTGTTTGAAATGGAGCCTTAAAGGTTTCAAAATGGAACTGCTGAACAGTGAAGTCCACGTGGTAGCTAGATATTGATTGATTATTGGTGTTTTTCTATATTTTATTAATCGATCATTTTATTTGTATTATTTATCCATTGTTTAGTGAATAGCTTTCAACAATATTTAGTAAAGCAAAAAAGAGTTTAACGGATTATTAAAAAGATTATTATGTTACTTTTTAAACAAAAGCTAAATCTTTTTGGCGAAACATTGCTTTAAACACCTGTCATTTGTAATATTGTAGCCATTTCTTTTTAGAAAAGTGTTTCTTTTTAGTCAAAGGTAAAGAAAAATTTCACAATATACACTTCCGAGTTTCATTTATCACCCTTTATCAGTTTTTGTCTGTAGATTTTAACTGTAATATACAGTATATTCCTAACGGCTGTTTTCATTTGGACTGTGCAATAGATTTCAGTCATTCATTAAATTTTCTTCGGCTGAGTCTCTTATTTATCAGGGGTCACTACAGTGGAATGAACCGCTAACTATTCCAGCATAAGTTTTACTTAGCGGATGCCCTTCCAGCTGCAACCCAGTACTAGGGCCATAGATTTCCACTTCAGCAAAACTTACTGTTTCACATTTTATAGTTTTATTTGTATCTGTATTCTGAAGATTCTTTTTAGAAGGACATGCTCATAGTTTACAAGATTATAAACAATTTATATTTATAAAACTGAAGAAATGTAGAACTTTTCTCTGGCTATATTTGTATTTTCTGAATTATGTGCTGAAAAATATCCTGAAATCACCTCTGTAAAAAGCAAACCTTTGATTCTAATAAGTTAAGAAATTAATTACAAAATGAACCAGACTTCATCTAGTTTTCAGATGTTACAGAATTTGAAATCAGTGCATATTTCATTACACAGTTACTCTGTTGCCTATTTAACATTACATTTGAGAAAACTTGTAACAAATATTTGCAATTCCATTGGAAGTATGGTGATAACTGTTTTTTATTCACCTGCACTCTCTTGCCTTAAAATATTCAACATCAGTAATCAGTTTTCCCACATAAATGATTAAATGGAAACCATGCGTTAACATTACGGGAACTGTCTCAAAGTTTATTTCAAGTTTATCTTCTATCGAAACACCTGGCTGAAGAACCAGTTCCTCTGCGAGTTGAGTTTTGCGCTGTAAGAATGTGTCTAAGTGGGTCAGTGGGAGTGTGTGGCTCTGAAAGGCTGTCTGTATGAGGAGAGTGCCTCTCTTTAGCTCACATTAACAGGATTACAGGCAGGCTGTGCTCAGGGGCCATGGTCCCTTTCAACCACAGGCCTCCCTCTGATCAGTGCTCACACAAACAGCACAACGAGGAAAATAGACAGAGAGCTAGTGGATTACAAATACAATGACACCACCTTGCATATATTTAGTTGACGGTTCTTTGAAGACTATACAGAACTTTGGCTAACTGAGGGTATGCCAGTTCATCCAGTAACTTAGAATTCATTCAACTCAAAAAGAGTTCAGTTGTTATCAACCTGTGTTTGTTATTCTATTCTATTCTATTCTATTCTATTCTATTCTATTCTATTCTATTCTATTCTATTCTATTCTATTCACGGATCTATTCTTGAGATATTTCTGCCTAAATTGTATATATACATGTGCAAATTACTGTTCAGTTGTAGTCACTTAGATTCTATTCCATTTCTATTCTAAATGAAATTTTTCTACCACATCAGACTCTTAATTTGATAGTTTGATTAGTGTAGTTAACTCTTGTCAGGTTCATTTAAACGTATTAAACCTGTGATTTGTGACTTAAACCTGTAACTAAACCATTAAAATGAGAGACACTGCTGTAAAGTATCGGAGACAGATTCATTCATGAAAATTAAACTCCACTATTTATTCTATTCTGCTCTTTACTGTTCTATTTTCTGTCATTATCCTATGCCTTTATTTCGAATTAGACCAAAATGAGTTTTACCTCACTGTAGTTTCAGTAATATCAGTATTATTAACCTGTGGTCTCAAATCATTCTTATCTATTCTATTCTTAATTAATTATACTGTATCCATCAATGAGCGTAACTATTAAATGACTATAGTTGTAAATTCTTAAGTTATTTCTATTCATCAAACCATTAAAATGAGATTCACTGTTGTAATCAGGTTCATTCGTGAATATTAAACTCCACTTATTCTATTTTATTCTTTTCTATTCTTTCCCATATCAATCTGTCATTAACCAATACATTTATTTTGATTTAGACCCTTAAAACAAATTTCACCTCACTGTTCATTCAGTCAAATCATTATGTTCTGTTCTTTTCTGTTCTATTCTTGATTAGTTATACTGTACCAAATTAAAATGAGTTTAACCATTAACTGATTATAGTTCTATTGCTATCGTAACTTATTTCGGTTAATCAGACCAATAAAATGTGAGTCACTGCTCTAAAGTTATGTAGTCAAGTTAATTCATGACTGTTAAACTCCACTTATACTATTCTCTTTTATTCTATTCTATATTATTCTATTTTCTGTCATTAATATGTTTATTCTGAATTAGACTTAAATCAAGTTTCACCTCACTGTAGGTTCATTCAGTCAAATCTCTTCTATTCTATTCCCTTCTATTCTGTTCTACTTATACTGTATCTACCAAATCAGAAATGAGCTGAACTATTAGCTGACTATAGTTGTATTGCTATCTTAACATCTTCCTAACAAACCATTAAAATGAGTCACTGCTGTAAAACTCTAGTCATTCATAAATAACTGTTTTATTCTATTTTATTTTCTGTTGTTATTTTATAAGTTTATTTAGATTTAGACCCTTTAAACGAGTTTCACCGCACTGTAGGTTCATTCAGTCAAATCTATTTTACTCTATTCTGTTCCATTTTATTCTATTCTATTCTATTCTATTCTCAATTAATTATACTGTATCTACCTAAGTAGAAATGTGCCAAACTATTAACTGACTGTAGCTGTACATTAAAATGAGTCACTACTGTAAAGTAATTTAGTCAGGTTCATTCATGAATATTAAACTCCACTTAATATACTATTCTATTCTATTCTACTATTCTATTTTCTGTCGTTATCCTATACCAGGGTTCACCAATCTCGTTCCTGGAGGTCCGGTGCCCTGCAGGGTTTAGCTCCAACTTGCCCCAACAGACCTGCCTAAGGTGTTTCAAGTGTACCTAAGACCGTGATCAGCTTGTTCAGGTGTGTTTGATTAGGGTTGAAGCTAAAATCTGCAGGACACCGGACCTCCAGAAACAAGTTTGATGATCCCTGTCCTATACTGTACATTTATTTTGAATTAAACCCTTAAAATGAGTTTCACCTCACTGTAGTTTCACTCAGTGAAATCTTTCTGTTCTATTCTATTCTATTCTATTCTATTCTATTCTATTCTTAAATAGGTAAACTGTATCTACCAAATTAGAAATAAGTTTAACTATAAACTGACTATAGTTGCTTTGCTGTCTTTTTTTTAATTATCAGACCATTAAAATGAGAGTCACTGCTGTAAAGTACTGTAGTCAGGTTCATTCAGGAATATTAAACCCTACTCATTATTCTATTCTGTTCTATTTTCTGTCGTTATCTTATACATTTATTTCAAATTAGACCCTTAAAACCAGTTTCACCTCACTGTAGGTTCATTCAGTCAAATCATTTTGTTCTATTCTATTTTTATGAGTTAAACTGTATCTACCAAATCAGAAATGAGTTTAACTATTGGTCAGGTTAATTCATTGTTAATTTGGCCGTATAGAGGTTCATTTGAATTATAGCTTGGTTTTGTTTGATTCCACAGTTCGCAGAACAATAAGACTGCTCAAATCACACACTATGAGCTCTAAACAAAGCCTGTGCTGGTCAGGAAGTTTCCTGTCAGCAGAAATTGGTGCTTATGTGAGTTTCCCATGTTTTAATCTTTGGTGAGTGAAGGTGTTTGGATCTGAATGGAACACAGAATCAGGCTAATATGTTCACACCTGCTTCCGCCAAGGGCACTAAAGTTCAAGAGGTTCATTAAGTGGAGAGCGGAGCAAGAACAAAATGAACAACAAAGCCGTTAGGACTAGAAATTCCAACTTAGGGGGTGTCAAATGGTGAAATTTCTCATTAAGAGCAAAAACTGAATTAAAAAAAACCTTCACAGCTTAAATAATAATTAAAAAAAACAAGCCGGATATCTTCAATCACACAAAAGTGACTTTTAACTCATATTTGTGTGGTGATTAAGGGATTTCTCCATTCGCAAGGCGTCCCTCAGGGCTCATTACATTCAAAGGAACACGACAAAAGCGCTGACAGCATTCTTTAGGGAAAGAGGGTGGCTGGACACAGAGGGGACAAAAAGCCCTTAACCGACCCCCTCATGATGCCCCCCTTGGCCAATCACATCCACATGCATGCTTGAGATT